CCTCAAGGCCAATTATTTCTATAGCCTTATCACTATGTGGCTCCATATCAGATCTTGGACTTTAGTATTATTTTGGTAGCCAGGTTGTCGTGGGAAAGTCTGCTTACAGTATCATTAAAAGAAGCATGGTTCACCTTCCATCTCCCTATTTATGTTGTTTGAATATCTGAAGCTGGATGTATTAGACAAGCTTACCTGCATGTCTGTAATCTCAACCATATAGCTCAATCACATTTATAATCAGAGTGATGCTCCTTTATTATATTTTATAGCTTTGACAGTAACTCAACACCAACATATAAAAACCACTCAAAATATTTTTGTCTAACACTTGCATACACATGCACCATTAACAGCACATTTTAATTAATCTTTGTAACCTAAAAAAAAAAAAAAAAAAAAAAAAAAAAAAAAAAAAAAGTGGGAATAATAGTGGTACTTTTCTTGTGAATTTTTTCTGCTGAGACATTATACTAAGCTATTTTAGTAGTATTTTCAAGACCTCGCAATTGTTTATGAAGCACCCATCTGTCTTAACTGACTCACATATCAGATCTTGGACTTTGTATTATTTTGATGACAGGTGTCATTTGGGAAAGTCTGCTTACATTGTCAGTAAAGAAACTGTGGTTTTCTGCTCCATCTCTGTTATGTAGTTTGTTTCAGGATATCTGAAATGGATGTATTGGGCAAACTTACATAAATGTCTGTTAATCTCCAAAACATGTATTAAATCTTCCAGTATAATCAGAGTGATGCTCATTTATTCATGTTTTAAACTTTGACAGTAACTCAACACCAACATATAAAAACCACTCAAAATATTTTTGTCTAACACTTGCATACACTGTGTATGCATTTTAATTTAATCTTTGTAACCTTATATAGTAGGCAGTTTTATTTTCCTCATTCTACAGAAGAGAAAAATGGGGCTAATGAGCAGTTAAGTGCTTGCAAATGTCTTATAGTAAGTAGTGGAGTCAAGTTTTGAGTGTATGTCAGACTGGAGTCTGCATTCCTAACTATGATGATAAATCACCTCTCCTGAGTATTGAGGTCTTAAAATTATGTATTTACAAATAGAAGGGGAAACAGACTTATATCATGGAAATCAGGATAAAAATTGTGCAAAACAGGCCACCCAAGGAATTAAAAGTAGAAAGTCATCAAGAACGGAGGCAGTTCTTTGTGCTGTGTCTTTCCCTGTGGTCACCTCTGTTCTCTTTCATTATTTTCTCTTTCTGCATATTTATTGGCTTCCTCTGCTTGCCTTAACACCTAGCCCATCTTGACTACTCATAAAACGGTACATTCAACATCAGTGTGTTTATTACCCTAAAAGTCCAGAGCTGTGGCCAAGTCGTCCAGTTTTTCATAATCTCAGTATAATTTCCTGTGAGGAGAATCCTGCCATCCTGGCATAGGCTCAGGGTTATTCTCCTCTAGGTGAGCTGTCTGTCTATCCTTTGATCAGATAGCTGTGGCTGTGGATGATAGATTGAGAGGGGGTGACTGGACACACACAGGGGTGTACACTAATGCTGGTGAGTATTTGTGTGGGAAAAGGGTATGGCCTGAATAGAGCCCCAGAATGTGCCTATAATAACATATATCAAATTTTATTAAAGTGCTGTCGTAAAAATAACAGCACAAATACAACATTGAAGTTACAGGTGTGAGAAACTGAAATCAGTTTATTATGTGAAAACTAACTTCCCCAAACTGGGTATGTAAAGCATTACTTTCAGTGGTACTAGAAGAGTTTATTTAAAAGAATCGTCTGAGTGAATCTTTTAAAAAGAACATTTGTCATTTATTTGCTGAGCACTCCCTTATGTACCTTGTCAATTTAGGATTCCCTATAGTAGGTTTGCATGTAATTGGATGTATTTACCAGGGAACGCTACATTATTTGCCATACATTATTTGAAGACTCACTTCGTTGAATTTCAGATCCTATTTTCAGATTTCTCAGTTCATGAATTGCAAATAAGAAGTATTTGCCTTTTGACAAATGAATACAAAGAAGGAATATTTGTCTTTTGTGTATGCATTTTCAGTTATTGGTGACTGTTTTTAAAATTTCTCTAGTTACCTTACTTCATTGCTAAAATGAGGAGGGATTTTTAACAAAGTTTTAGAAAAGTCTGAGCAGTCAGAATTATATTTTTTTTCTTCTTTAGGATATTGGGAAAAGGTTCCATAGAACCTGATGATTTTTAGTGTGTTTGGTTCATTTAAACATTTTCCGAACAAAAATATTTGTAATTATACTGGTTTCTAGTCACATTCTGTGATCAACATGTTGAAGATCTGTAAGATACAGAATATACTTTTATTTCATGTGGTTTTTTACGAGTTATTGTGATATCCTGGAGTCATACTTCTCGTTTTAAAACAGAAGTAGTTTTAGATGGTAATTCCAGGGAAAATACAATTCATTGTGTTTATTCAATTTTCACTCAACTTTCTTAGGAATAGATAGTTCTTTTATACCAGATGAGCTATGGGTATCTTCAAAAGCATAAAAAGCTTTAAAAAATCTTTTATTTTGTTAACTAGTTTGGCATATATCCATAAACTCATTCCGGCTTTTCTAAAATAGTTACGTGGCTAGAATACCACATCTAGTCATGTGGAAATTTGCTTATTTTCTGAAATATATTGATCCTGAAATCACAGAACTCCACATTTAGATTGTTTGTGTTCGTGTAGTGAGGATACTTTTTTAGGACATTGCCTTTAATATATATTACATAAGTGAAACAGTTGCCATTTGTTCCAACTGATTGGACCATTTCAAGACAGATTTCCTCCCTGGTCAGTCCATTATTACGATTTTCAGTTTAGAATTTCTTTCCAGCTCTTGGACCTTTTCTAAGATAGAGACAATTTCTGAGCATCTCTTTGGTAGTGATTTTTCCAAGTGTCACTACTGGATTTTGGAGGTGTCAGTCAGGAAGAGCTGGATGACAGGACTTGGAGCAATCAGGCAGCCCCCTTAAATATAACTTAAGGCAGCATTTAGTATAAAGGAATAAGGCACTATTTAAAGAAGACAACAGAGTACATAGATTTTTCAAATTAGTACTTTTCAAACTTTTGATGATGAGGGACCAGATTTTTAATTTCCAGTGTATATGTACAGGGTGGACAAGGTGAACATATTTATCACATGCTTGACCCAGATGCTGTGAAAGTGTTTTCTGATTGCCATAATGCTGACACTACTCTGCTGACCACATGTTCAACAGTGTTGTTGATCCTAGAACATTATTTCTTTATTTTGCTCCCAGGGTTGCTGAGCCTCAGAAAAGTTAAATGATTTGCTCAATATTATACAGCTGTTAAAATTTTCTTTTTCAGTTTCAGTAGAGAGAACTCTACTCAGGCAGAATTTGGTCTTTTGTCTGAAGGTGATGTTCATTGCTAGTGTAAAAGTCAGAAAAATATGCCTGTGGCATTTTTAACTGTGGGGGAATTTTCAATTTCTGCATTGTGGACTCCTGAAATATTTTACATGATCTTACAGTTTTGGAACAATACAAGAACAAAAAAGATACCACGTAAAATAATGAAACAAGAAAAATCAGAAATATTGAGGTAGAAAAAGCATAAACAATTTAAAAACTATTAGTTTCACATAATCAGAGTAATGGGTACCTATGAGGAAAGTATCAAGAGATAAGGCCTAAAAGATTCTCAGAGATAAGATTAATAAGTGGTATTAAATCATAAAAAGGAGTTTGCTTTTTATTGTTAGACAATGGGAAATGGTTAAAAAAGTAATATAGAACAGGTTAGTTTTTAGCAAAGATAATTTTAATGCTTTCTATATATTTTTTTTAAGAGACAGGTTCTTGCCGTGTTGCCCAGGTTGGAGTGCAGTGGCGCAGTCATAGCTCACTGCAGCCTGAAATTCCTGGGCTCAAACAATTCTCCTGCCTCAGCCTCTCTCTCTATATATTTTAAAGTAAGACTAATAGAAGATATACTTCAGTTTTGTAAAGTATGCTTTAGCTCTAAACACCATAATCAAATGTCTTTGAATTAAAAGTAGTAGCTTAAAAAAGGCAGGAGAACATAGAAATATGATGCAGTAATTGAGAAGATTGTTCTGTTTTCAAACATCCCTGTCACCAAGTATTTGGTAAAAATGAATGCAGTGATATTGAGGCAGTATATTATGCTGTTGAATATAACCAAATGGCTTGCGTTGGACTCTCAGCTCTAATATTCGTTATTTTTTCAATCTTGGGCAAATTGCTTAGCCTCTTTGGGCCTTGGTTTCTCATCTATAGAATGAAGATAAATAATACTTTCCTTATAGGACTGTCGTAAAGTTAAATGACTTTCTCTGTATAGATAGATATACAGTGGTCCCTTGGTGTCTGTGGGGGTTAGTTTCAGGACTCCCTCTTACCCGTGGATACCAAAATCCTTGGATACTTAAATCCCTTATATAAAATGTTCCAGTATTTGGATATAACCTACAGAAATCCTCCCATATACTTTAAATTGTCTCTAGATTACTTATAGTACTTAATACAGTGTAAATGCTATGTAAATAGTTGTTGTATTATATTGTTTAGGGAATAATGATTTTTAAAACTCTGTACATGTTGAATACAGACACAGCCATCCATTTTCTCCCCTAATATTCTCAATCCCACAAATACTGAACCCACAGATATGGAGGGGGTGACTGTATACACCTATTTGTTATATAACTTAGAATAATATCTGGTAAATAATAAACATTGAATTAAGTACTTTTACTGCTGCTGCTGCTGGTGGTGGTGGTGTTATGATTAGTAGCAGAAGACATTTCATTAAATACATATTACAAACATGTAAGAATAATATGACTACAATACCAAAAATTTACCAGTTACTGTTTGAAAATAACCACCCACTGGATATCAGATTTTATTTTTTTCTCCAGTTATCAAGACTAAGGTAGTGAATTTATATTTATCTTAGTGTTTTCTCTTCTATAGTTCATCAGAGAAGATATGAAATATAAAGATGCTACTAATAAACACAGCCATCTGCACAGAGAAGATAAACATATAACAATTGAGGATTTGTGGAAACGATGGAAAACGTCAGAAGGTAAGACTGCCTTCGTGATCTGGCTCCCTCCCCTTCTGCACATCTAGCCTGCTTAGTTGTTGTTAACTCACTTATGCGTATGTTTTTACCAAAAAAATCAAAATAACATTTGTGTGAGGACATTTAAATTTTAGTAAATAATTTTCCCTTCTTGTTTTTGAAAGATGATTTTTATCTTTCTGAGAGTCATTAAGCATCAGGCTGTTCTCATATAATTATAGTAGAATAAATAAGATAATGCATGTCTGAGAGCCTAAAGTTGTAAAGCATTATTTCAGCTATTACATGACATTATTATAAAAGGTTTAGCAAATAAACATACAGAAACACAAAGGTTTCTTTTTAGCTGTGGAGAATAGTTCCTAATGTTTTTAGGAGGCTATTACTGTTCAGCTTTTTCTTAAGTAAATCCTTTACAACGTCTCGTAATAGTTGCATGATAAAATTGGATAATTAGTATTTTATTCCCTTTTCTACTATGAAGTTCTCAAGCTGTATTATGGACAGTAATTGTTTAGTATAAGAAAAGTCTGTGATCTAAAAATCTCAACTTGGTTCCTAATATTAGGCAGTTACTAAAATAAAAAAAAATTTACAAGTCCACTAAGCTTACATTTTTTTTTTCAGTAACTCAACTAAAATTCCTTCTTTCAAATGCTTCTGTTCTTTCATGAAAGTCAGCAATTATATTATAAGCATGTATTTTTCTCTGAATAATTAAATGAAATTAAAGGGACAGATTACCAATTAAGAGTGTAAAGAAATAATAAAGTTTACTTGATTCATTACGATAACATTTAAAAGTGGGAAAATAAAACTGTCCCACCAATGCTCAGTATTTTTCTTAGTATAGAAGATGGTAGATAGCTTGCTTACATGTTTTTCTGTTGAAATATACTTGGGTTGGGGGGAGAAAGAGGAAAATTATGGACTTAAAAGAAAAATATATAGACTTTTAAAAAACCTCTTCATTTCTTTTCCCTACACCATTTAAAAATAACATGAGCTTGGATAGGAATAGGAATAAACAAATATCAGTTTCATGAAGAAAAGTGAAAATGGTGGGGAACTCAGCAACAAACTTACCTTATTGACATGATATGGCTCAGCAATCCATAGATACTAAGAAGGGAGGTGGAGATCCATTACAGAGTCTATTGCTGTTAGTATTTTTTTAAGGATTAAAATATGTAATACATTGATTGGAACCCACTTGACTATGTTTGAATGAAGAAAAAAAAATACTTGACCACTTAGCTCTTGTACTGCCTTTGTTCAGCCACCATCATCTCTTGCCTCGATAATTGTGGCAGCCTAATTCATCTCCCTGTGTTTGTGCTCTGCTGTAGTCTCTTCTTCACCTAGCAGAGTACTCTAAAATGTAAATTAGATCTGCCCATTACTTTGTAGTAGCTCACAGTAATAGTCCAAATCTTTACAAAGACCTGTAAGCCTCTAATGTTCTGCCTTCTACTTCCACCTCTCTCTCATCTCTTACCTCTTCTATTCCATCCATCTCTCTTGCTCACTGTGCTCCATTCATTCTGGACCTGTTGCTATTCCACAAATGCAGGAATGCACACTTCCTCGTGGCTAATTCTGTCACCTCCTTTGTTAAAGTCTTTATCAAGGGCTATGCTCTCAGTGAAACCACTCTGGCCACCCTGTTTAATGTTGCTAACCTCCCCTTTTACTCATTTTTTTTTTTCTGGTACTCTTGATTTTTCTTAGCTTCACACTTTCCTTTTCCCCTATCATGTATCACCTTCTAAGATACTATATAATTGGCTTATTCATTGTATATATATCTCCCTTCTCTCTCTGCCTCACCCCCAAGAATGTAAGTCTTATAGAGCAGGGGAACTTTGTGTGTTTTGTTTATTAATGTATCCTAAATAAAGAGGACTCTATTCTTAAACTCCTTTTTGTTTTCCCACCCTAGCGACTTTGGTGAGATCTTTTGTGATCTATGAGAATGTTTGTTTGCTTGTTTTTATTTTTTTTTATTTTTTATTTTAAGCTAAGGCCTTTTCAAGCTGAATGACCTCTTAAACCTTTTTCCCTAGGCTTTCACCTTAATCTGAGATCTGACCATTATGATAATAAGGGATTTCCCCAGTTCAAACAGTTGGCCTAAGTTATCTCCTCTCTTCTTCCTTTTCTCTAAGCCCCAGTTGGCTATATAACCTTACAGAGCCTGGGAGAAGTAGTCTCAGGACTCCTACTAATGCAGCTGTATGGGATGAAAGAGAGAGGAGTCAAGTGATAATAAACTTTCACTAGAAGCTTTATAATGACCTAGATGATTTTTCTTAACCCATGTCAGACTCTGTTTATTAAAGGGGTCATGTAAGGGTTGAGCATTGTTGCTATAGCACTGATTTTTAAAACACTCAGGCTCCAGGAGGAGTCCCAGGGACAGGGCATATTGAGTGTGCAGGGCTCTGCTTTTATCTGTTATATTTCGTTTCTGTTTAAAATTTATCTTGAGAAACGAAAAGTAGTTCTTCTGAAAAAGTTTGAAAACTACTGAAGTAGAGATTAGAATGTACCCCTAACAATAACAGGTAATTCAAGGTTGTTTACTTGAATATATACAAAAACGTGGGTGTGTATGTATATAACACACACTCACATACACGTGCAAATATATGCATTCATTCTTTGCTCATCATTGTTGTGTCTCCTGTGCCTAGCGCAGTGCATTCACTTAGTATTCAATAGTGAGTATTCACTTTGATATTCAGTAAATCATTGTTGAATGAATGAAAGTGTAATGCCTGATAAGTATTGGATGCTCAGTAATTTAGTTGGTCAAATGTTTTGAGTACAGGCGTTTCTGTTATAAGACATTACGTGCTTTTCTTAAAAATTTTTGTTTTTTAAAATTATGAACTTAAAAATGACAGTTTAGGGGGAAAATGGGACTGCAGGAGACTATTCAAAACCTTATTAGCGATAGCATTAACAGTAGTAATAAAAATACTAGTACAGGCCAGGTGTGGTGGCTCATGCCTGTAATCCCTGCACTTTGGGAGGCCGAGGCGAGCAGCTCACCTGAGGTCAGGAGTTCAAGACCACCCTGGCCAACATGGCAAAACCCTGTCTCTACTAAAAATACAAAATTAACCAGACTTGGTGGCACGCTCCTGTAATCCCAGCTGCTAGGGAGGCTGAGGCAGCAGAATCACTTGAACCCGGGAGTGCGCTACTACACTCCATCTCAAAAAATATATATATACTAGTACCGCTAAAAAGAATTTTAAATTCCTAATCAATACATACTATATAGTAGATGTAGGAATTTATATTAAAAATAATGAAGATAACTTTATAGAAAGATGGTTGGGGGGGTTCTGGTAGAATTGAGGTTGCTAAAACATGAAGACAAGGGCAAAGTGCATGAAGGTGAGAACCGAGCAACAAGCATTTCCAAGACAGAGGCTCTGGCCAAATTGAGCAAAGATGAAGAAGGAGGGTAAGTGGAAGCTCCTGTTTGTAGCTTGCTGTATTGGCAGTTGGTATACTTTGCATCCATTTGATATTACTTGGTGGTGTGAAATGAAACCATGTTTGGAAAAGTCACATATGGAATGATATGACTTTTGCATTGACGTGACCCCTAATTACTAGTGGCACATAAACTAATTCATGTTACAGAAGCACATGCAGCAAAATAGACTATATCTATTAGGTGCTAAACAAGCATTGCATTGGATCCTGGGGATTAATGATGAGTTAAACATGGATCTGGGGTATACAGAGCAAATTGCTGAGTAGGAAAGACAAAGAAAAAAATAATTACACTATAAGGTGATATGTACAATAATAGCAGTAAATTTAGGGTATGGAGGTAGCTCACTGGAGGGAGTGATTAGTTCACTATTATACACAGAAGATGGTGTTTGGGATGGGCTCTGAAAGTTGACCCAGGAGTTCTAGAAGGAGACAAGAAGTAGAACATAAATGGTAGCTCCCCCATGGCATTTTTTTTTTTTTCCTTGAAATATACAGGGTCTTGCTGTGTCACCCAGGCCAGAGTGCAGTGGTGTGACCATACCTCACTGCAGTCTCAAGTTCCTGGGCTCAAGTGAACCACTGGAGTAGTTGAGACTATCGGCGTGCACCACCACGCCTGGCTTATTTTTTGTTTTTTGTTGGGATGAGATCTTACTATGTTGCCCAGTCTGGTTTCCAGCTCCTGGCCTCAGGCAGCCCTCCTGTCTTGGCCTCCTAAAGCACTAGGATTACAGATGGGAGTCACCATACCCAGCCTCCTTCTTTAGTTACCTGAAAATTTGCTGGAAATGAAAGTGGAGGTGGCATGCTATAGGGAGTATGTAGGCTTTCAAACTATACCGCTTTAAATTCTGGCTCTTCTATTTATGAACAGTGAGACATTGGACAGATTTTGAAAATTCACTTATAAAATGTTATTCTTGTGTAACATAAATGAGTAATGTAGTAAAAGTACTTGGCGTAATTTCTGGCAACACCTGTTAGGCACTTAGTAAAGGTTGATTCTCTCATTCAGTAATAATGCGAAATAAACTAAAAAATTCAGCCATATTCAAAGTTTTATACTGTTTTTGACTTAGTCTCCCAATATTTATAAAATGAACAGACTAAGCTATATGTGTACCATCATTGTGTGCAAACTCTGGACAGTGAAATGTACCCAAGATCTTTCTGGAATGTTGTCAACTGCGGAAAAGTAAAATTATTTTATGCGGAAGTTGATCCTGACCTCAAATAGAATTTCAACAGTGACTTTAATGCTGTGTGTGTGTGTGTGTGTGTGTGTGTGTGTGTGTAGAGAGAATGCTTGGTCAAGTTGCATATGGCAACTGTCTAATGCAAATGAAAGCCATTTAAAAACTAGTGTTAGATTTCAGATAGATTTTGATAAACTGGATACGTTGTGAGAATTACTGAATGTACTTAAATAGTAGCCAGATACCTAATGCAGGAAAATAGAGATAGAAAATTATTGGTTATAT